ACTGTACCAAGGTTTTCATTTTAACCTTGAATTTGTGTTTTCCTGGTTTGTTTTATTTAATTTTATCTTCAGTTGTTCATAAAAGGTTTCAACAAAATGTATTGGTTTTGTGTTATTAACTTCTCATTTCCTACTAATTTTTAGAGTTTTTTTTAAGTTTTAAGAATTCTGATTTTTTTATTGTTTCATTATACTTATGAAATCAAGTAGCATATAGTTTATTTTTATATAAAATTTAAATTATGCATAATTGCTTTTAAATGTTGTTTTTAAATTTGGCAAGTTATCTTTTTGATAAATATCAGAAGACAGGCAAAATTAAGAATCAATTGAAAGAAAATAATACATGTGAATATTTCCATATTGATATACCTGCTAACATTTACTGGGAAAGAAAGCTTCTAGAGAAACTCTTATAAAAAAGCAAACACGAAAAAACCAAACAACCAAACCACAAGTTCTATTTGGGAATTTGGCTAACATTTTATTTTAGTAATTTTAGAGATATACATCACAATTGGTGAAGTTTCCATCACCTCCTGCTCTAGTAATGGTGTTACAATTATCATTAAAAACGTTAGAACTTTGATTTTGTAGATTTTTTCATGGAACTTTGTCTACCAGAGTGGTAATCGGATTGGGAGTTTACGAGGCAGGGCAGTGTTGCCTACAGTGATGGCTCTGGGATTCCTCTTTCCTTTTGCCCATTTAGAGACCCCGGTGACCTACAACTGAAAAGTTAATGTATAAGATTAGGTGATATAAATAGACTCTGTTCCAATTTGCTGGAGTAAAAATAGCAGTCCAGCCTTTCATTTTAAATGTGTTCTTTGAAAAAAATTTTAAAAACCTAAGTGCTCCATGCTAGTAAATTTTATTGCATATTTATTGTCTAAAATAAATCACAAATGCTCTTCTAACTCTACTAATATTTTAGCCTCCTTGAATAATTAGAAAAGTGAAAAGTAGAAATCTTCAACACTTTCAAATTATTCTCCCCATTTATCCAAATAATAATGTTTGATAAATAAATGAAGCATTTCAAAAGTTAAAACATCTTATAATTACAAAACTTCCTTTTTATTTTAATTTTATTGGAAAGGCAGATTTATAGAGAGAAGGAGATACAGAGAGAAAGGTCTTCCATCCATTGATTTACTCTCCAAGTGGCTGCAATTTCTGAAAAACCTATCCAAAGCCTGAAGCCAGGAACTTCCTCTGGATCTCCCATACAGGTGAAGGTCCCAAGGCTTTGGGCCTTTCTACTATTTTCCCAGACTATATGCAGGGAACTGGATGGGAAGTGAAACAGCCAGGGCATGAACTGGCATCCATATGGGATCCTGGTGCATGCAAGGTAATATTAGCCACTAGGCTATCTCATTGAGCCCCGCAAAATTTCCTTCTTTAAAAAAGATTTATTTAAAAAGTAGAGTTGTGGAGAGATGGGAGGATTTGAAGAAGGGAGAGAAAGCAAGATCAATTAGGGAGGAGAATGAAAAGACATTAAAATTGAAAAAAGTAGCCAATGTACACATGTTTGCAGACAACATGCTGTTGTACGTGGAAAACCTAAACACTCCATCAAAAAGCTTTTAGAATTACTAAACCAATTCAGTGTAGGTAAAGGTTTCAAAAGAAACATATTAAAAGGAGTAGTTTTCATTAGCCTATGATGAACTCAAAGAAAGAGAAATCAAAAAAGAACTCCAATTCTGAATAACTACACAAAGCATCAAATATTTAAAAACAAATTTAATCACAGAAGTGAAAGCTCTAAATAATGAAAATTACCAAACATTGATTAACAAACTCGTCAAGGACACAAAAATGGATAGATATTCTTGCTCATGGATTTGAAGAAGCAATATCATTAAAATGTGCTATGTAAAGCAATCTACAGATTCAGTAAAATTCCTACCAAAATACTTACGACATCCATAGAAGTATTATTTTAAAAAATCAACTCTAAAATTATCTTATCAAATCACAAAAGGCCCAGAAAAACCAAAGTAATCCTGAATAAGAAAAATCAAACTGGAGGCATTAAAATACATGACTTCCAAGCATTCTACAAAGTTATAATAATTAAAGCAATGTAATACTGGCATAAGAACTGGTATATAAATCAATGGAGCAACAACAGCAACAAAAGAAATTAATCCACATACAAATAACTGTTTTTTGACGAAATGAAGTTGCTGAATGAAAATGTAAGAAAAATATTCCAAGACATTAGTGTAGAAGATGACTTTTTGGAGGCCTTGAAAATATAGGCAGCAAAAAAAAAAAAAAAAACTAAATAAATGGGACAATAGCAAGCTCAGAAGCTTTTGCATAGATTAAAAAATCAATATAGTGAAGGAAGCATTCTTATCCAGAAATTATCAACTAATTAAAAACCCAACAACAAAAAGACAAACAATCCAGTCAAGAAATGAACAAAGGATTTCAGTTAGACAGTTTTCAAAAGATGAGATACAAATACCCAACAAATACTTGAACATATTCTCAACATCGTAGCCATCTGAGAAATACAAACCAAAACCACAATGAGTTATCATCTCAACTCTATGTGAGTGACTACGATTCAAAACACAGAGAGTAACAAATACTGGCATGCATGTGGGCAACGGAGAATACTTATACACTATTAGCACGAATGTTCGTGCAACTGTTATATAGAAAACTGTGTGGGATTAAAAAAAACAACTAGAAATAGACATGTCATGTGAAAAATATATTCCAAACAGGTCTGAACACAAGCAGATACCTGTACTACCATATTTATGGCAGCACTGGCTACGATTGCCAAGCTTTGGAATAAATCAAGGTGTCCATCATAGATGAATGGATTTAAAAAATGTGGCATATATGCACAATGGAACATTATTCAAATATTAAAAAAAAACTAAATTCTGTCATTTGCAAGGAACTCAACTGAAAGACAGTAGGGTGAGTGAAATAAATCAGGCCCACAAAGAGAAATACTGCATGTTTTGTCTGACTTGTGAGAGCTAAAAATGAGTAAAAAGGGAGGAAGGGAAGAAAGAAGAAAGGAAGGAAGAAAGAATGAATTATGAAAATAAGGAAAGAAAATAGGGAAGGAAGGATGAAAGAAAAAAGGAAGGAAAAAGAAAGGAATGAAGAAACGTCTGTGTGTCAATATTAGTGCAAATTTAGTTTTGTAAAAATTTTACACTTTAGCCAAACTAATGGGTAAGAATTTCATACTACTATAGTATGTATTGAATGATCTGTGATTACTTTAAAACATACTGTAACTGGGTGAAATGGCCATTTTTCCATTCAAATATTATTTATAGTCTTGTCTGTATTCCCACTAAACTATGATGCTTCTGCATTTTACTTGTTAAGCTCCTTATTTGGTGAAGTATTAAGCCTTTTTTACTGCAATAAAAATGTAAAATATGTTATTGCAAAAACTACTGCAAAAGAAAGGAAGAAGGAGGGTGGAAGAAAAATGGGAGGAAGGTAGGAATATCATTATGTCCTTAAAAGTGTATATACCAGTCACATTGAATCTGTTAACAACTATTTTAAAATAAAATTAAATATATTTTTTTAAAGCAAAGTAAGAAACAGTCCCAAAAAAGTGGGGGCTGGATGTGGAAGGAGATGAGGGTTTTGAGAGCTAAAAGTATAAGACAGAAGCACCATAGAAATTCTACCTGAATTCATCAACATTTTCCAATATGATTTACTTTCAAGATCATTATTACCCATGAATATCATATACAGATTGCGCAGGAGATATGTGCAATTCAGATTTCCATTTCTAACCAACTCAAAGAACTTAAACTGAAGCCTTGAATTGATGGGAATTCTGACTTCCATCTGCTTTATTGACAATTCACTAAGCTTGTCTATGGAACAGTGATCTCAGAATCCCTGGGGAAGGCCAACGAACACAGTTCCATATTTAGAGTTATGTCCATGGCTGGTCATCTGGCGTGGCAGAGCCATCCGGCTGCCTGTCCTCTGGGACTCTGCACAACACAGATCTGTCCTCACCTACAGTTTATGTTGCTTGCCTGCTCAGCTGGTGCCAACCCAAGCAAAACCTAATCTTTTTCAGTGACCTTGCGAGCCCAAACTGAACAATCACACCAAGCAGTTTATTTTATTGTGTGCTTCCGGTAATGCAAGAGTTATTTCTTCTTTCACTTATGGTTTCTATTCATACCTGGGAGGACGAGCAGCAAGAGATTGGTTAGAGGATAGAGAAGAAAAGGGTGATTTATGTGTGGTATGCACACTGATAAGTAATTCAGTGCCTAGCATCTTCTTGTGCCATTTCCTTCTTTACACCAAAGACTATTTGAATACTTGTATCCTTAAAATTGATCCTTTATACAGATACTTCTGTTATATACTTAATCCAGGAAGTCAAATGGAAGGAAAATAACATTGGGTCAGAATAATTGTGGTGCAGTGAATCAAGCCACTTACAGTGCATCCCATACTACACTCTGGGCTGTTGTCCCTTCTTTGTACAAATGGCTTGGGCAAACGGCAATTAAAGGGTCAAGTGATTGAGTCCCTGACACTCACAAGGAACAAAACTCAGTAGAATTCATGACTTCTGGCTTAAATTTGGCTCAGCCCTGGCTATTGTGGCCATCTGCAGGGTATGAATCAGAGCTGGACAATGTCTGTCTTTCCCTCTCTGTCACTCTGCCTTTTAAATAAATCTTTGCTTTTCTTTAAGATAGAAACAATGATATAAAATTGGTCTTTAATTACTTTTTCAAAAGGCACATTTATTTTACTTGAAAGAGTTTAGAGAGTGGGTCGGGACAAAGAGATCTTTCATTTGTTTGTTCACTCCCCATGACTACAAAAGCCAGAGCTGAGCAGGTCCAAGACTGGGAGCCAGCTTCTTTGGGTCTCTCATGAGCGTGCAGGGGCCTGATTGGGCTATTCTGTGCTGCTTTTCCAGGTCATTGGCAGGAAGTTGGATCAAAAGTGTAGCAGCCATGCTCACTTCGGCAGCACATATACTAAAATTGGAATAATACAGAGATTAGCATAGCCTCTGCACAAGGATGATATGCAAATTCAAGAAGTGTTTCATGGTTTTTGGGCCAAACTGGAGACCATTATGCTAAGGGAAATGAGCCAATCCCAAAAGGTCAGCTTGCTCTAATAAAAGGTAATGTAATGTCAAATCTAAGGATTTTACCTGGGAATTTTACCTTATTGTACTTTGTAGCTATTTATACCTTTTGTAATAAGATCTTTTATGATTTTATTTCTTTTTTATGTATTTATTTTTATTGCAAAGTCAGATAACAGAGAGGAGGAGAGACAGAGAGGAAGATCTTCCATCTGATGATTCACTCCCCAAGTGACCACAACAGCTGGTGCTATGCCAATCCAAAGCCAGGAGCTAAGAACTTCCTCCAGGTCTCCCACACAGGTACAGGGTCCCAAGGCTGTGGGCCATCCTTGACTGCCTTCCCAGACCACAAGCAGGGAGCTGGATAGGAAGCAGGGCCACCAGGATTAGAACCAGCACCCACAAGGTGCGTACAAGGTGATGACTTTAGCCCCTAGGCTACCGCACCAGGCCCCGTAATAAGATCTTGTGATGCAATTTATTAACCAATCATCCATAACAGATTGTAATCACCTGAGATTGTCAGTGTCCCTGTAATTGCTACTGCCCGTAAGTAACGATGATCCAGTCTTTATTGTACTTTCATTAGTGTCACATGGGATGCACACTGGCATTTATTCCTAGAGGAAGACATTGGAGTCTCCTTTTCACCACTCTAGGGTCACACTGATACCTTTGTTACATGCTCATCAATTTCATGGGAATGAAGGTTCACCATTTTTTTCCCCACGGTGGACTGTACCTAAGGGAATGCATAATGGAAGTGTAGTGGAAATTAATATTTTCATAGGTAGAAACAGAGAGAAATAAGTCTGCATACATGCAGTGCAAGGATGGACTCACAGTGAAATGGCTGATGATCTCCTCCACTGCTGGGGGACACCTCTGTGGGAGCATGCTGGACTTGTGAAAATTCACAAAAGATACCCATTGCAAGACTCAGCTTTAGAGTTGATTGTCAAAGATGAATTTAGAAAGCAGTTGACCCAAAGAAGCAATGAGATATGGTTAAAGTAAGTGTTTCTTTTCTTAAAATTAACCTCTGAGGAGCTCCTTGTGTAACTTGTAACTTTCAGGGGTAAACATTTGATACTCCCCTGTATTTTGTATTTTCCATTTCTTGTCATCCTTTTTTCAAAAAATCTTTGGGCCCGGAGAGGTAGCCTAGCAGCTAAGGTCCTCACCTTGTACACACAGGGATCCCATTTGGGTGCCAGTGGCCCTGCTTCCCATCGACCTCCCAACTTGTGCCATGTAGCTTTTCCTTCATTCTGTGTTTGATTCTGGTGTAGAAGCTCAGCTCAAACCCCATTCTAGCCTGATGTGGGCACCTCATTGAGACATTTATAATTTATATGAATCACGAGACATTCCATTCATAATTCATATGAATCTTCGCCAAACTGGCACATCTGTAGAACTTGAGTTTTATCCCTTTCTTTGTATTCTATTCACTCAGTCCAGACCTTACTACTTCTAACCAATCTATCTCATCTGGGAAATAGTGAATGAGGAAAGGTACCGAATTCTGAATGAGAGGTTTGTAGAGAATATTGCAGATTATTTCTCTTTTATAGGAGATAAATGAAAATGTAGTGATTTGATTTAGAATAGGCAAGTTTTAAAGATACTGATATCTTCCAACTACTGCTTTACTCTCCAGTGGCCACAACAACCAGGACTGGCCCAGATCAAAACCAGGAAACAGGAATTCCATCTTAAGTTTTCCACAAGTACTTGAACCATCATTTGTTGCTTCCTAGGCACATTATGAGGTACCTGGATTGAAAGTGGACCATCATGGGTCACAAACATTGGCTTAACCCATTTTGCCACAATACCAACCCCAAGAACAAATGATTTTTAACACATAAAATTTGAGTTTGTTGGTTAGTAAGGGCTGGCTATAAGACTTCATTAAACTTTGTCATCCAGAGTTAGAAAAATCAGCTGGGTTAGAAAGATTTATACTACTCATGGAAATTTATATTAATCATGAAAGTGAGTTGAATGGATTAACAAAAATTTTTGAAACGGATCTTTAAAAAGACAAAATAATTGTTGTCTTTTCTGAAATTGGCTGCCTTGAGGGAGATCCCTAATGAGGATCATGCCTCACAGAGAGAGTTACTTATGTTGCATTCATTGTCAGATTGCCAAGTCTGAGCGTGAGAAGGATGAGTGAGAGCACAGGGTATCCGTAGTTAGTGTCTTTTGAAACTGCAACCGATCTCCAGGCTTACACCTACTGCTGTGCTACCTTGCTGAAATATCGCATCATTTTCCTCCAAAAATCTGATTTTCTTTAGTATATAAATAGTTGAAACAATTCGATCAGTACTCTACAATTGTTCTTTCCCACATTCTATCATTTTCCAGGCCACCTTTTCCCTGAATCAGTCACAAACCCTAAATAGCAGCTATTTTTTGCCTCTTTGTTGTTCCTTGGCTACTCTATAGGCTCATCAATCTTTGGCCTTTTGTTCTAGTTATGTCTTCCCTTCAAATGCTTTTCCTTTCGACTTTAAAAGTTGGGCTAGAGATCTACCTGTTTTGACACATCTCACATCAAAAGCTGCGATTATTTCCTCTACACTCCCAAAGCATGCTGTTTTTGATCTCTGTTATACTATAAATCACATTAGCTCCATAGAATTATTTTTAAAATTCTGATTGCCATGCAGCTACATAGTAAGCAGAATAAAACACCTTTAACTTACAGTAAGATACAGCTTACCATCAGGTCTTGGGTGTCTGTCATAACCAAAATTGTAATGCATTCTTTAACTTAGGAAACCAAAGCCCAAGATTTTAAAATGGCATATCAAGACAAATTTTTACATGTGGTATATAATGTATGATTTCACTTCTTAATTTCATTAAACCAGAAATAATGGACGGGATGCTGTCCTTGTACTGGCCAAATAGGTATTGAACCACTATCTCTAGGAGCCTAGAAAATATGTAAGAAAATAGGCATTTCTTGGGACCGTGCACCTGTGTGGGAGACCCAGAAGACGCTCCAGGCTCCTGGCTTTGGATCAGCTCAGTTCCGACTGTTGTAGCCATTTGGGGAATGAATCAGCAGATGGAAGATCTTCCTCTCTGTCTCTTCTCTCTGTATATCTTACTTCCAATAAAAATAAATAAATCTTTTTAAAAAGAAAATAGATATTTGACACAATGATTTAAAAATTGGCATGGACCCTAATTAATTATGTAAAGATTATCAAAAATATAATAACAATGGAAAAAAAGTAAAATTGGCATTGAAACTGTGAATAGTATCAGAGACACAGGGCCAACTATTCTTGGAGGATAGATACAGGGAAAGACTTCACAGGGGTCTAGAAAGAAAAAGATGGTCCAGGTAGAGAAAATAGTAGCATATTATTGATGATTCCAAGTTTCAATTTAAACTTTGTGTAATTGTGGAACTGATGAGCTCATCATCCATTCACCTCTGGTAGATTTTTCAAGTGTTCGTACGTCTGTGAATGGTGTGTGTGTGTGTGTGTGTGTGTGTGTGTGTGTGTGTGTGTGTGTGTGTGTATGAGAAACCCAAGCAGGGCAGTGCTTTAAGTTAAGAAAAGACTGTTAATTCATGGTACTCACCAGGGAACGTCTGGGAGTCTACAGATAAACCTGTTCTCAATGATGAGGAGGTCACAGGGCAGAAGAGTCATTTTGGCTTAGTCTGCAAGCCCTTAAATACATTTCATGCTGACGCACATTCGTTGCCTCATGGTGCCAGCACTGACGGAAGGGAGGGGGTGACAGTTCCTATCAGAACGGCATTCTGATGTAGGACATGCGCAATAGAAAATGAGAGGAAGAGGAGCACTGATACGGTCTGGACAGGCTGCTTTTTTGGAACACCAACTCCACCTGTTAATGCTTTCTGCTCACCTATCATCACCTGGACCCCGAGGGGGAGCTGTTGTGTTGTTACCTACCCTCCCCGCTCTCAAGACCCCATAAAAGCCCAGGTGAAACGGGGCAGGGACTCCAGGTCTGGTGCTGGCTACCTGCTGGCTAGCGTGTTTCCCACACACTCATTCTGAGGACGGAGCAGCTCCGGCCGTTGAGGCCATTTGGAGAGTGAATCAACAAACAAAAGTTCTTCCTCTCTGTCTCTCCTCCTCTCTGTATATCTAATTTTCCAATAAAAACAAAATAAATCTTTAAAAAAGATTTATTGTTTATGCCGTATTGGTGCCTGTGCTTAAAAAGCTTTTGATATAAGAGGCAAGAAGCTAGAAACTAAATATTTGGTTTAAAAACCTAGAGAGCAGTAGTGTGAAGCTGACTCTGAGCATTGTTGAGATTCAGTGCCAGGGAAGGTTTAAGAGAGTCTAAGACAGACCTGGAAGTATACTACAGCATTGACAGAAGCATCACTGTGAACATGGTATCATGGACGCATCCAGCTGGAGGGGCCTAAGATGAGAGAGGGTGGTGGAAATATAGAGGAAGGAAAGGACTGTCATCTAGAAACTTCCACTAGAACTAAAATTTTACATCCACAGATTTGCACCTGGAAGTCTTTTTTTTAAAGATTTATTTTTATTATTTTTTCATTGGAAAGGCGGATATACAGAGAGGAGAGACAGAGAGGAAGGTCTTCCGTCCCGCAACGGGCCGATACTATGCCGATCCGAAGCCAGGAGCCTCTTCCGGGTGCAGGGTCCCAAAGCTTTGGGACGTCCTCGACTGCTTTCCCAGGCCACAGGCAGGGAGCTGGAAGGGAAGCGGGGCTGCCGGGATTAAAACCGGTGCCCATATGGGATCCCGGGCGTGCAAGGCGAGGACCTTAACCACTGCGCCACCGCGCCGGGCCCAAGTCTTTTTTTTTTTTTAAGACTTATTTATTTTTATTGGAAAAGCGAACATACTGAGAGGAGGAGAGACAGAAAGGAAGATCTTCTGTCCTAAGGTTCATTCCCCAAGCGGCCACAATG